TCCATCCATCAATAGAAAAAATAACACAATTACCCACCTAATCTTACCTTGGCTTCATCCTTTAATAGCTATGCTTATTTTATAATACATACAATCCATCCATTAGCAAGAAAAAATGACACAATCACCCCCTTGTCCTACATTGGTTTCTTCCTTTACCTTTATTTTTTAACACACACAATTCATTCATCAATAACAAAAAAAATGTCATAATTGTTATAAGTGTGATATTGTTTTTATCTAGATAAAATTATCATGTCTTTATAAGAATCAATCACAAAAGAGAAATGATCCTTTTACGCAAGTCTTAAATATTTTCTTTCTATTTGAATTGTCCCAATAATTCAAACTTCAAAAGAAAATTTTTGAAATATATATTTATGATATTAGTGCATATTAGTTTTGATTCCTGAAAAAAAATTGGAGTCCCAACTTTCACTTAAAACCGAAATCCCAATTTAAAATTTAAACATTCACCTTATTAAATGTTGATATTTAGATTTGAAAACTAATTATACAAAAATATATATTTTTGTATAATTAGTTTTCAAATCTAAATATTAAATTTTAATAAAATAATTTTTTAAATTTTAACTTGAGTTTTAATTAAATAAAATGACTTGCTTTAAGGTTATGACTCCAATTTATTTTGGAAATCAGGACTAATATGCACATTTTTCATATATGTATTATATTTAGAATTTTTCAAAAGTTTGGAGGGTGGTTCCCTCTTGTTATTCTACACTAATACTCTCTTTTGTCCTACATTGGCTTTGTCCATAAATAGCTACCTTTATTTTGTAACACACACAATCTATCCATCAACATGAAAAAATATCCTAGTCATACCCTTATCCTACCTAAAATGCCACTTTTATTTTATAACACACACAATCCATCCATTAACAAGAGAAAATGACATAATTATCCCCTTGTTCTACATTGACTTCATCCCTATATAGTTACCTTTATTTTATAACACATACAATCTATGCATCGATTGAAAAATAATGTCACAATTGATATAAAAGTAATGTCTCTACCTACACACCAAGTAAAATATAACAAGTTGAAAAGCCACCATTTCAAACCTTATATATATAGAATAGTGAATATTAATCTCAATTTGATAAAGTTCTAATTTAAAAAATATATATATATAACCAATGTAAAAATTTATCATGATAATTTCATAAATTGTATAAAAAGAATTATATATAATCAATGCCCTACACTGGTGTAACCCACTTATCTTACACTAGCTTTATTCATGAAGCACCACTTTTATTTTAGAACACACACAATCCATCCATAAACATGAAAAAATGTCACAATCACTCTCTTGTCCTACACTAGCTTTGTCCTTGAATATCCACTTTTATTTTATAACACACAATCTATCCATCAACAAAAAAAAAAAATGACACAATTGCCTTCCTAGTCTTACCTTGGCTTCATCCTTTAATAGCTATGTTTATTTTATAATACATATAATCCATCCATTAACAAGAAAAAATGACACAATCACCCCCTTGTCCTACATTGGTTTCTTCCTTTACCTTTATTTTATAACACACACAATTCCTTCATCAATAGGAAAAAAATGTCATAATTGATATTAGTATGACGTTCTTATCTAGATAAAATTATCATGACTTTATAAGAATTAGATACAAAGGGAGAAATGATCCTTTTACTCGAATTTTAAATATTTTCTTTATATTTGAATAGTCTCAATAATTCAAATTTCAAAAAAAAAATTGAAATATATATATGAGATTAATGCATATTAGTTTTGATTTTTGAAAAAAAATTCGAATCCCAACTTTCATTTAAAAACTGAAATCCTAATTAAAAATTCAAAAATTCACCTTATTAAATGTTGATACTTAAATTTGAAAACTAATTATATATTTTAATATAATTAATTTTCAAATATAGATATTAAAAATTAATAAAATAAAATTTTAAATTTAACTTGAGTTTTAATTAAATAAAATAACTCACTTTAAGATTAAGACTCCAATTTATTTTGGGAAAAAAGACTAATATGCACATTTCCCATGTATTATATTTAACATTGTTCAAAAGTTTGGAGGGTGGTTCCCTCTTGTTGTCATATACTAATACTCCCCTTTGTCCTACAATGGCTTTGTCCATAAATAGCCACCTTTATTTTGCAACACACACAATCCATCCATCCATTAACATGAAAAAATATCCCAATTATCCCCTTGTCCTACCTAAAAAGCCACTTTTATTTTATAACACACACAATCCATCCATTAACAACATAAAATTACACAATCACCCGCTTGTCTTCCACTGACTTCATCCTTGAATAGCTACCTTTATTTTATAACACATTCAATCCATGCATCAATTGGAAAATTATGTCACCATTAATATAAAAGTGACATCTTTACCTACACACCAAGTAAAATATGATAACTTGAAAAGTCTCTATCACAAACCTTATATATATAATAGTGAATATTAGTTTCAATTTTATAGAGTTCTAATTTAGAATATATATGTAA